TAGGCATTAGGAACAACAGCTGATGGAATCAAAATTTCGTTCCTCATTTCCTAGAAACCAGTTGAGATGAATTTAAGAAAAAAGGAAAATACAGAATAGCGACTAATACTTAAAATACAGAAATCTGAAGGCATACCTTGGGAACGTGATTGCTGGTCGCCATTGCAGTCGAAATGGGTTTGAATCTGAGGAAGGTTGTAGAAAGATGGCTTGAAACAACAGTTTGGCAAAGCAGAAGATCGGCTAGGGTTAAGGCTTTGGTGGTAGCGGTTTTGACTGTTTGAGAGAAAAGGGGAAAGTAAGCAGGCCGAGCCGGTTGGAAATGATACTGTTGGGGTATTATATGGAATTCGGCCTGAGAAATCAAGAGTCATGCGTATATTTCGGAATGAGCAGTCGCAACACGATGAGCAGATAAATAGAAATTTTAGATTAAATCATTTTTATCCCAAAAATTAGGGGGCATGTCTTTACGCCAAAATTTGGAAAGAAGGATGCAAGAACTCGAAGCTTCTAGGATTGTTTCATCAAGGAATCGATTAGATGTGAATCGGTATCAGTTGATTTAGATGCGATGTCAGAATCGACTGTTTTATAGATGACGTCAGCAGAGGACGTCAATGGGATATACTTGGATGGCGCTAGGAAGATGTGTCGAACTCTATAAATAAGGAAAATTAGGGTCCAAGTTATTATTAAGTTAGGAAGTTTTCTTTTATTCCAAGAATTATAATGAGTCGTATTTGAGTAGGATTCATGTTTAGGTTCCAGGTATAAATATTAGACCCTGGTTAATATAAGAAAAAAGAACACTGAGTCAACACAATCTTTTCGGCTTTTGCCACCGCATTAGGAGTAGGAGTACTATAGATCTCGATGAGTTCTTCAGTAAACAGGGCTACATCGACTGATCGACCTCCAGCTTGCTTGTGAGTACCGTCACAACTTGTATTATGCTTGTAAAGCTGCATCAGCTGATTGATCTTTTATGAGTCCTAATATAAGTTAGTTATCGATCTGTATTGTAGTTTGTAAGGCGGCATCAGCTGATTGATCTTTTATGAATCATAATATAGATCTAAATTATTGATCTTGTGTTAAATAACTTGTTGTTTAATACAATACCACTAGTTATCGAATTTGCTAAGATTAGTAAGATTTTCCTTGCTATTTTTGGTTGATTCACTAGTTATTGATCTTGTTATAATCAATGTTTTATTAATTATAACAAAATCACCCGATTGAGATAGAGATAGATCGACATCATACCATCTTAATTGGTCGTCCTCTGATCTGGTCATGCTTCAAATCTTATAATTGATGTCTTAATTCCGCTAGATCGGTTGTTTTATCTCTATTCCAATCAAACATAGTATGCATCCAAAGACATGTTTTAATCTTGAATAAACTCACTAGTTAATGAGATCTAATCTAATGACACTACCATAGCTGCATCGATCCGGTCGAACCTCACTGGCAAGACTTTGGATTAGAAATGATGGATTAGTGGTCTTGTTCATGATCAAGATATGTACTCTGTTTGTTTGCTATGACTGCATCGGCTATTTTAGCCGATTTGCCTATACTCTCACACATATAGCATGTTTTCATGAATCTGTCAATATATAGATGATTTTATAGATTCTTTGGCTTTAGTTTATTATCATTATCATAGTTGCATCGATCCGATCGAACCTCACTGTTGATGATAATAGATTTAACCCAAAACTGTGAGTAGATTCATTTATATTAGACAGTCGATTTGTTCGCATGTTATACTCTTTTCATCAAACTTATTGGCTTGACGCTTTATATCGATCATGTTCCATTTAGCCAATGATGCTTTCTGATGTTCCATGAGCATAGGTCATTTTGATTCATCTCATTATCATTTAATATTAGCCGATAATCCTTGATTTAAAGATCTTCATTTCATGGATACGCTGGATATTGACTATTTAGTCGATAGCCTCATTAAATCGGCTATCTAGCCGTACATTTGAAACTGTTTAGTGCAACACCGATATGTTCCACCTTAAATTACTGATAAGATTTTCTCTCCTTGTCAATTGCAGGTCAATTTGACTGGATGTCGTTAGGTTTTCAGAATCGGCTGGTTCTATGTTGAAGCCAAGCAGATCTCTGGTCTTGTTCCACTTAGATCTTCCGGCTTACTGTGTGTTGATCACATCGCCACATTTTTGTGTCAACATAGGGTCAAGCCACCACCTCTCTCCTCGTTCTCCTCTGAGGACACCCACATAGATCGACTCACATGGCATCAGGAGGGCATGAGTTTATCCCCCAAATTTTGATGTCTCGCATCTAGAGAGGATATTCCCCTTCAGAGATGACTCCATCTCAGATGTCCTCTAACCAGACATTGAGACAAAATAGGATATCCAACTTGGTGTTTGTCTCTTCACCAGACCAAATACACCTATATTGACATCCTACTAACTTCTCTTTTGCACGAATTTGACGATGTAATAAAAATTGAAGGTTTCAAGAGCAATGCACAATTCAAATGTAAAACAAGTGTTTTTTCATAGGTTCAAGGGTCTTCATCTCCCCAGAGAAACAAGGGAAATGTCTCCCTGGAAAGAAAAAAACAGGGAGAATTTTAAAATGATAAAAAATCAAATGTAAAAAAACAAGTGTTTTTCTTCGTAGGTTCAAAGGTTTTCATCTCGCTGGAGAAAAACATGGGAAATGTAAACTTTTAGCTAAAAGAAAAAAATATAGACTAACACACCAAGTAGGGGGGACGAACCTATGGCCTTATCCGTGGGAAACAGACGCTCTATCCTCTCAGCTACACGTGCATTTGATTGAAATTTTCCACTTTCCTTACATATTTAAATGACAGCCACAAAGAATGTGCACAAAATTATGGCGGATTATCTGAAATTAGGAGCACAACTACAGTGATATGACCACGTGACCAACAACATGGCTAGACTAAAGCTAGCAGTATTCAGAATTTTGTGTTTAACTTGAGCTTCTTAGTAAATGTTAGAACTATAGCTTTAAGCCATCATATCTATAATGTATAAAGCAGGATTTCATAGAGTCGCAGTTTGCCATGTGAGTTTTGTGATTAGTTGGTGGTATTCTATTAGCCGTGTCAGAACGCTACTTCAATTTTCTTCCTTTCCAGCGAATGGCACACACAATATCGGCTAATATCACAATGCTAGAGGAGAATATCTCCAGGTCTATAACTAGGGTTTATGGACCCCCGATTTGACTCGGATAAAATTAACTTCATGTACAGTGTCAACATGTGTCCACTTCATCCTCAGACTAATGATCACCAAGTCCTCATCGGCCAGCTTCTTGAATTGGTCTTGATCCCACCCTAACTTTGGTTAATGTTGTGTTCATCGCCTTCCACGTGCCCCCTTGTTCCCCATGTGCTTGGTGTGGATTACCCATGGTCCTCTTGGCCTTGGTCCTTCAATCCAAGCCTTATGTCTTCCCTTCACCACCCATGGTACATTGGCACAAAACTCTACTTCTCCTTACTTGTCCTTTGTCAACCACCTAATCTTCTCCAATACCTACACATACACAACCAAGAGACATGTTGCAATGCCACTACTTTTCCTTAATTTGGTTAGTTATCTAGTAAGTCATAAGCAAGAATAACTCAATCAGAAGGAGTTCACCTCATTCGACAATCACTCATAATCACAATGACAACTTCACCTTGTCATCTCAAGTAATACTAGATATCATTATTAATGGTAGAAGTCATATTCTCATGATAATTGACAAAAAACACCCTAACTAAGAGTGTGATCATAGATAGATAGATAGATAGATAGATAGATAGATAGATAGACAGACAGACAATAGATAGACAGACAGACAGATAGACAGACAGACAGATATATAGAAATAGACACAAAGATAGATAGATACACACATACAGATAGAAAGATAGACAGATACAGACAGACAAATAGATAGATAGATAGATAGATAGATAGATAGATAGATAGATAGATAGATAGATAGATAGATAGACAGACAGACAGACAGATAGACAGACAGACAGAAAAAGAAAAAAAGGTTGGTAGATAGATAGATAGACAGACATATAGATAGATAGATAGAAATAGACACAAAGATAGATAGATACACACAGACAGATAGAAAGATAGACAAACAGACAGACAAATAGATAGATAGATAGATAGACAGATAGACAGACAGAAAGAAAGGAAAAAAGGTTGGTAGATAGATAGATAGACAGATAGACAGATAGATAGAAATAGACACAAAGATAGATAGATACACACAGACAGATAGAAAGATAGACAGACAGACAAAGAAATAGATAGATAGATATATAGATAGATAGACAGAGACAGACAGATAGGGAGAGACAGATAGATGGATAGACGGGTAGATAGATAGATAGATAGATAGAGAGAGAGAGAGATAGACAGACAAAGAGAGATAGACAAACCGACAGACATGTAGAGACACAGACAGACAGACAGATAGACAGAGATATAGATAGATAGATAGATAGAGACAGAGAGAAAGAGACAGATAGACGGATGGACAGACAGACGGACGGAGAGACAGACAGACAGCAGGCGGACAGACAGACAGAGATATATATATAGATAGATAGATACCTGTTCCACGGTAGTTATCATCAGCGTGTCCTTTATAAGATGCTTAGCATAGCATGGGTATAGCTCCCTGTCGCTGGACGCCAAACCCTAGTGATCCATCCTTGTTCCGTATCGTCCTTCCTGTTTTGGCTCAGATCACGTACGTACGTCAGGTGAGCCTACATACCCCTCATGGATTGTAAATTCGACTCTAAACTAGCCGCAGAAATTTTTTAGGAATGATTCTAAACTAAATCCATTCACTTGCATTTTCTTGTTTCCTCACTCTCTCTCTTGAATAATCTTGCATCAATTTCTCTCTTGGTTTGGTTATATTGCATGCCCCCTTTGCATGCATAGCATAGTCACATGTGGAAGCTGAAGGTGGCGGAGGGCGGTAGCCCCTTGCTGCGGTCGACAAACGGCTTCGTCGGGCGGACCGTGTGGGAATTCGACCTTGACTTCGGCACGCCGGAGCAGCGCGCCGAGGTGGAAAAGGCGCGCCGAGAGTTCTCCAACCACCGCTTCCAGCGCAAGCATTCCGCCGATGTCCTCATGCGCATGCAGGTCTGTGTATGCGTCGTGTATACCGTACCATACGTGTTGTTGTTAGAACACGGACACAATGTGTTAGTATATAATAAAATACAAAATAAAATTATAAATAAAAGATATGATAAATACTATAGTTTCACCTTAACACGTGAATACAAAAAATGTAAGAACTAAAATGGTCAAAAAGTTGAAAAGCAAGTATAGAACAAAACAAGAGTTGATGCAACTTAACCTCAGGTTTCAAATATGTATTGAATACCTATGAAGGTGGAATACAAAGAATGATGAATGTATATCGTAATATTACAAAAAGGATTAATGGGTACAAATGGCAACAGATCGAGAGAGAAAGAAATAGATTCTAGCCAACAAAGAAATTAATTACCCATTCCGTTCCAAATTATAAGTCATTCTAATATTCAAGACATATCAAGTTTGACCAAAATTATAGAGAGAATTATAAAGATTTATGACATCAAATAGGTATATACTATGAAAATATAACTAATTAAGAATCTAATGATACTTATTGGGTATCATAAATGTTATTATTTTATTAAATAAATTGTTATAGTGCTCAGTGGATACTGGCCCAGTTCGCTATACCACGAGCCGGGGCCCCTCGGGCCCAGGTCCACCGGAGCCCATAACATACCAAAATCTTAGGCCTAACTCAACCCAAAAGACTAGCCTAATAGGTAAGGGCTGCCCCGCCATATATGTTGTTCTCCCCCAACATCAATTAGCGATGTAGGACTAAACCTAACAATCTCCGCCATCACACATCGGGCCCAACTCTTCACATCACACAACCCCGTGCGATTTCTGGAAGACATTCTCCAGGCCCCGAGTCCAATGCTCCATGTCACATACAACATGTGTGACCTCCGAGATGTTAATGGGCTCCCCCGTTACCATGTGACGCTTGAGATTTTCCAGGTTTTTTGACCATGAGCTCTGATACAACTTGTTAGAGTGCGCAGCAGATCTGGCCTAGCTCGCTATATCATGAGTCGGCGCCCCTCGGGCCCAGGTCTACCAGAGCCCACAACATACCAAGGCCTTGGGCCTAACTCAACCCAAAAGACTAGCCTAATAGGTAAGGGCTGCCCCACCTTATATGTTGTGCTCCCCCAACATTACCAATGTAAGACTAAACCTAACAATCTCCCCCGTCACATATCGGGCTCAACTCTTCACATCACACAACCCCGTGCGATCTCTAGAAGACGTTCTCTAGGCCTCTAGTCCAACGCTCCATGTCACACACAACCTGTGTGACTTCCGAGACGTTAACAGGATCTCCCGTCACCATGTGACCCTGAGCTTTTTTTTGGTTTTTTCAACCATGGGCTTTGATTGTTAGAGTGCGCAGCGGATCTGGCCCGGCTTGCTATACCCATGAGCCAGCGCCCCTCGTGCCCAGGTCTACCGAAGCTCACAACATACAAAGGCCTTGGGCTTAACTCAACCCAAAATACTAGCCTAATAGATGAGGGCTTCCCCACCTTATATGTTGTGCTCCCCCAACATCAATTACCGATGTGTGACTAAACCTAACATAAATTTGGTCAAACATGAGATGCTTTGACTCTCCAAGAAAGTTAGAATGATTTATAATTTAGAATGCAGGAAGTATTTATTACTACTCTCACTCTCAGAGTTCCTTTTGCATGTATATGCTTAGACTGACATATATTGCTCACATCTGTTCCCTTGTCCAGTATGCAAAAGCCAAGCCTCTTCATATGGACCTTCCTGCTGTCAAGCTGGGGGACAATCAAGACATTACGGAGGAAGCTGTGTTGACCTCCTTGAAACGGGCTATCAGTCGCCTCTCTACTCTCCAGGCAAATGATGGACACTGGCCTGGCGATTGTGGTGGTCCTCTGTTCCTTTTGCCAGGCTTGGTACTTGCTCCCCTACAACTTGATCATTGTAAATTTTTGTGATCAGTGTAAATGAAGACGTCAGACGCACACACACCTAGCAGTTTTGGTGACCAACACCACTAGAACATATGGGACCTGACAGCTGGCTATCATCGTTCTTTTTTATTTACAATTTGTACAATATGTTTTGCATTCGTTCTTTGGTTTCAAGAAAGTTACTGACTACATTATATTGTATTAGATTATAATGTTGTATGTGACTGGAGCGTTGAACGTTGTTTTATCTTCGGAACATCAGAGGGAGATGCGCCGGTATCTCTATAATCATCAGGCAAGCTTACTTTACTTTATTGATTAACAAGGAAATTAAATCATGTTGTGGCCAAAAGAAATTTCACTAATTTTATTTAATTTGCAAGTGCAATCGTAGAATGAAGACGGAGGGTGGGGGTTGCACATTGAGGGCCCCAGCACAATGTTTGGCACAACCTTGAACTATGTTACTCTGAGATTGATTGGCGAGGGCCCAAACAGTGGAGATGGAGCTATGGAGAAAGGCCGAAATTGGATCTTGGAGCACGGAGGAGCAACATATACAACATCATGGGGCAAGTTTTGGCTAACGGTATGATTAGGAGATTTCTGTGTTCACAGTGGCAGTCTTGTTTTTATTCTTGTCTCACAGCCTAATTGATGGTTGTATCTCCCTTAATGAAACTTTTAAGGTACTTGGAGTATACGATTGGTCTGGTAACAACCCGCTGCCACCAGAAATGTGGCTGTTGCCATATAACCTGCCTTTTCACCCAGGTTTGGACTTCTGCCTTTTTTTCACGGAAACAACTAATATTGAAATTCTTATCTCCACAGTTGTTTGCAATTATTTAAGATATTAATCTTGAACTATTGTCTGGGTCAATAAGCCATGGCACTATGATTTCTATTTGGAAAGGACTATTGCCCTAGTTCTTCTGTTGAACCATCTAATAAGATATTATCTTTGACTATTATTGTTCCGAACCATATAAAGTAAGGTTTTAGCTCAAAAAACTCCAACCGTATAGCTTATCTTAGATGCATGGCTTCATGTGTTACTGTTAGATTGTTTTCATATGGAAATCACATTAAATGGTATATTTGTGAGCTTGAAAGGCCAGGGGCTGGATGGTGAAAGAAAGTTGGTTAGGGATCTTTTTTCCAACAACAAACACATTTAACTTATCACCCAAAAACCAAATGTACAAGTACAAACATTGTTTCCAATTTTGCAACAAAAATAATACCAATGTTGATTTTTTATTTCAAAAAAAGAAATGAAAAACAAATCAATAATAAAATCCCCAGGTTGCTATATATAAATAAATGTTATCCAAAAAATCTATTATCTACTATCTACTATGTACTATGTCTAAATAAGAGCCCCCCACTAACAGATTTCTCTGCAATTTCATAATGCCATGCCATTGAGGCTCCCATAACCATAAATCCGTATGTTGCAGCCCAACCATCCCCTCCCATCTATGTTAACAGCTCAGGCGGCAGCGCCAACTCTCCGTTTGCAAAACCCTGCGAACTGAACAGTCATGTTGTCACTGGTCTACCTCCATCATATTTCCCTGCTGATTGGCTGCCCCTATTAAATCTGAATGGTCTCTTGCAATTCTCTTATTTTTTACTTCCTATTTTGGGTTTTTTTGGATCTCATGACAAAATTTTAGTCCTACACTTTTAGCCTATTTTTTTTACCATGGGGATTCAAATAGGAGGGCTAAAAGTGAGCAAATAGCTAAAATCTGAGCTAAAATATTTTGCTCCCAAAGGGCCCTAAACTGGGCTAAAGTGCCTCGGGGCGGGCGCTGGATGCCCCATACCCCCACTCACCCATCCACCCCCACTGCTCTCGTCCATCCATTCCCTACTCGCGAAACCCTATCCTTCTTGCCCGAGTGCACCCAGCACCGCCGCTGTCGCCCCTCTCGCTCGAGCTCCTCCGCCGCCGCCCAGATCTAGCTCTCCTCACAGCCGCCAGATCTAGATCCGCGCGACGCAGATGGACGGCTACGGCGACGACAGCACCAGGGATTTCTTCTCCCAGCCAGATCCGTGCTCCCCCGCCGATGGCTTCGACATGTTGTCCGATGAGGTGAGGATTTGTTCGGGCTCGGGCTCTGTCCATGGTCCCCGGATGGGCATTGAGGCACTCAACCTCAACTCGCAGGCGGAAGGCTAGCCTCATATGGCGGCGTACCAGGGCATTTTGAGGTAAGGCAGGGGAAATGGAGGCAATGCCGTGCAGCATGGGCCCCCTCCCCCTCCACCCCGCATTGGCAGAGGAGGCGGCAATTGAACCCTCGGTTTACGCGTGGCTCGCAGCAGCGGTGGAGGAGGCGCCATGCCCGGCCGCGTTGGAGGATTTTGTTGGAAGTGCCAAGTTATCCAATGCCAAAGCAAAGACAAATAATTGTAGCATGCATGGCGCTTTATAATTTTATTAGAGAGAGTCATATCACAGATAAGGACTTTGATCGTTGCGGCCGTGATGAGAACTATGTTCCTCCTAAAGCATCAACCTCTCAACCACCAACACGGAGTACTCAAGCAAAGGACAAAGATCGAAACATGAATGCATTCCGTGATCAAATAGCCAATGGTTTGTTCCATAGATCATAGTGAGTGTGTTTGATTTCTTGTATGGACTAGGACCATTGGGGTGTGTACTTAAACTATTGTGTAATAAGTGAAATATTTGGCTTCTGCATGCATGGCGACCAGCAGGAACAGCAGAGAGTTCCTGGCCGACGCCGAGCAGAGAGCATGCCCAGCAGAGGCCGGTGCCCAGCATGTGCATGGAGTCATTAAATGAGGGATAAATCAGTCATTGTTTGATGAAAGTCTAAAGTTTAGCCCATGTATCCAAACATCCCAGCAGGAATAAAGTTTAGGGGCTAAAGTTTAGCCCATGTACTACTGATCCAAACAGCACCTTAGTCTTCACAGATTCCACCAAGCTGGAGCACAAAGAACTTCACCAAGTCCTTTGTCTCATCAAAGCTCTCGGCTCCCTAAAGGGAGAAGTATGTTAGAATCTTAGAAGCAACAAGCGGCTGGGCTGCCTTGAAAGTCTAGGATTGTCAATCAATCACGCTGTAAAGTGGATGGATCGAACACACACAAGAACATGAACACAGAGCGATCTCAGATGTGGAAACTGTCACCGGACGACAGGGTGACAGCGCCCCTTTTCGCTTTGGATGGTTCACGATACAAATGCCTAACCGGCTTACAAAATGCTCACACATACGCACTAAGGATCTAGCTACTTATACCTGCAGCTAATGGACCTCTTTTACAAAGCAAATAACCGCACAAACTCGACACCAATGCACTGACTAACACGAATGTAGATAATCGCTGAGAGCGTATGGGCGCGGTCACCACCACCAACTGCTGCCTCGCGCATGCGCCTCGGTTTGAACTCGAGCTTCCGCCTTCTTCTTTGCCAACTTGGACACGCCACATTGTTGCCTAGTGTTGTGATAGGATTACACCAACAGAACTCCCCCTAAACACGGCACACACCGAGATCCCCGACACCAATCGGGTGAGTCATGACACTCGGCTTCACTGCTGCCATAGACTTAGTCAAGACACATCGCCTTTTGTTCTTGATCCCCACCCTTCTCACCACAATCTGCCCCCTCTCAATGCATTCCCTAATGAAATGATACTTCAAATCAATGTGCTTACTTCTACCATGAAAGACAGGGTTTTTCATGAGAGCAATTGCAGAATTGTTATCAACAAACAAGGTGACTGTCTTTGGCTTCTCTCTTGTGATCTCACTGATCAAATTTCTGAGCCACAAAGCCTGTTTAGCTGCAGCTGTAGCAGCCATAAACTCTAACTCACATGAAGACAATGAAACAGTCTTCTATTTCTGTGAGCACCAAGTGACCAAGTTCTCATTCAAATAGAATGCCATTCCTCCTGTGCTTCTCCTTTCAACAACATCAGCACCATGATCACTATCAGAGTAACCCACAAGCTTGTCTGCACACCCACCTTGAACATACACTAGTCCAAGATTAATTGTGCCTCTCAAGTATCTCAAAATCTGTTTGACAGCTTTGGCATGCATCACTGTAGGCCTTTCCATGAATCTGCTAGCAACTCCCACAGAATAAGCTAGGTCAGGCCTGCTGTGCAACAAATACCTCAAGCATCCAATCATCTTCCTGTATTCAGTAGCATCAACCTGCTGACCTCCTTTATCTGCATTCAGTTTGCATCCAGGTTCCATTGGAAACTTGGTAGAGTTACACTCACTCATCCCAAACTGTTCCAACACCTTTCTTGCGTATCCACTTTGCTTTACAGTGATGAAATCCTCTTTCTGATATACTTCTATTCCAAGATAGTAGCTCAGCAGCCCCAAATCTGTCATTTCAAATTCTGCCATCATCTGCTTCTTAAACAAATTGATCTCTTCTATATTGCTCCCAGTTACAACAAGATCATCAACGTAAACTCCCAAGATCACTGCACTGTCACCAGTACCCCTGGTATACACTGCTTGCTCACTCAAACATCTTCTGAAACCAAGCTTCTTCAGGCTATTGTCTAGCTTGACATTCCAAGCCCTAGGAGCTTGTTTCAGACCATAAAGTGCTTTGCTCAGCTTGAACACTTCCTGTTCCCTGCCCTTCACTTTATAGCCCTCAGGTTGTGAGACATAGACCTCTTCCTCTAGTTCTCCATGTAAGAAAGCAGATTTGACATCCAAATGATGAACTTTCCATCCATTATTAGCTGCAAATGCAAGTAGCACTCTCACTGTGTCTAACCTGGCAACAGGGGCAAACACCTCTTCAAAATCTATTCCATATTTTTGCACATATCCTTTTGCAACTAATCTGAACTTGTATTTCACCACTTCACCGTTAGAGTTCCTTTTCAGTTTGAAAACCCACTTCAGCCCAATGGGTTTCTTACCCACAGGTAACTTGACCAGTTCCCATGTTTTGTTCCTTTCTATGGATTGCATTTCCTTGTCCATAGCATCCTTCCATTCTTGATGAGCAGCAGCTTCTGCATAACTGGTTGGTTCATCAGCTTCCACCAACAGTGCTTCCACATCGGAGTCTACCAGTTCAACCTCTGAGGTGTCATCATAGATATCATCTAGATTTCTGAACCTCATGGCTCCACTTTCATTTACTGATGATGGTGTGAGCATCTCACTCCCAGAGTGTTCCTGTTGTGGTGTGGAGAAACCAGCTCCTGAGAATTCTGCAAAGGTATCATTCTGCATTTCTTGATCAGCTGGCCACTGTAGCTCATCTGGCACATTTTCTGAATCTTCAGGTACTGTATCATTTCCATGTTGCATCTGTTCACTCTGCCACCTGACCTCACTACTTGCACCTCCACTACCAAAATAATATGTTGATGATTCATCATCAACTATAAAATCCACAGAAACTTCTCCATCCCAGTCCCACACCTTGCTCTCTTCAAACACTGTATCCCTACTGACAACAATTTTGTTTGAGGTTGGATCATACAACCTGTATGCCTTGCTTCCATCCTCAACCCCAAAATACACTAGCTTCCTGCTTCTGTCATCAAGTTTCTTCAGGTGTGGTGTAACAACCTTGGCATGAGCTGTACACCCAAATACCTTCAAATGTCCCAAACTTGGCTTCCTTCCAGTCCAAGTTTCATGTGGTGTCTTATCACCCAATACCTTGGTAGGTAACCTGTTCAGAAGATAAACAGCATGCCTAACAGCTTCTTCCCAGTATCTCCCTGGAACTTTCATGCTCTTCAGCAATGCTATAGCCATATCCATGACTGTCTTGTTTCTTCTCTCAACTACTCCATTTTGTTGGGGAGTAAATGGAGCAGCAAACTGTCTCTTGATCCCTGCTTGTTCACACACATCTGCAAACAAACCAGATAGGAATTCCCCTCCCCTATCTGACCTGAGAGTCTTGATTCTGCACTCTATCAGGTTTTCAACTTCTACCTTGTACTTTACAAAAGCAGCAAGTGCTTGATCTTTGCTCTTAAGCATGTGCACTTCCATCCACCTTGAGTGATCATCAACCAACAACATGAAGTATTTATTCCCTCCTGCTGTTTCTGGTGAAATTGGACCACACAGATCCACATGGACCAATTTGAGCTTCTCTTCTGCTTGCCACTGAGTAGCTCTAGGAAAGCTTGCTCTTGTTTGTTTGGCTGTCAGACAGTCACTGCACACTTGTTCAGGGTGACTAATGATAGGAACCCCAAAAGCCATTCCTTTCCCCACCAATTGTTTCAAGGATCTAAAGTTGACATGTCCTAATCTTCCATGCCACAACCAAGCTTCATTTTCTATGCTAGCCATCAAACAGACAGGTTCCACTGTGTTCAACTCAATTTTGTACATCCTGTTTACTGTCCTGGGAACTTTCATGATCAGTCTATCAGATTGTTTCTCCACTACCTCTAGCTCATTTTCATCAAGCAAAATCTTATGTCCTATTTCTGTCAATTGACCAAGGCTGATAAGATTACTTCTTAATCTAGGAATGTAATAGACATCTGATAGAATCCACTGATCCCCAAATTTTCCCTGGAAAACTATTGTACCTTTACCATGAATTGTAACAGTGGAATCATCACCAAACCTCACCTTGCCTGTTATGCCATGATCCAGATCCTTGAATTTCTGAAGATCACCAGTCATGTGGTTGCTTGCTCCATTATCCAAGTACCAAATGTTCCCTGTAGGATTGCCTCCTTCAACAAGATGGAGTTCAGGCACTGTCCCTGCCTCTTTCAGAAGCACCCTTGGAGCCCTATTGTCGGATGAGTACTGTAGCTGTCCCGGCAAGGCCGTTTCAGCCAACAGCACTAAATGCTCCTTCTCTTCTGCTTTGGCATAATGTGCCTCCTCCTTCTTCTCACCTGGGCATCGGTTGGCGTAGTGACCATAGCCATGGCACTTGAAGCATTTGATGTGACTCTTGTCACGCTTCAAGTTACCATCCCTGCCGGCGTCAGCACCACCTCCACGGCCACTGCTGCTGCCTCCTTGGCCATGACCTCTCCCTTGCCAACTCCCATCACCTCTCTTCCCCTTCCCCGAGGAATCTCCAATAGCATTCTTCTGTCTTGCTTCCCACTCTGCCTGAGTTAGCAAGACTTGGCCTTTCACCGATCAAGAGCCACTGCTTCCCCGCCGTGTGCGCTCCTCAAAGGCCTTCAGGCGCCCCACTGCTTCATCAAACGCTAGGGTCTTCAGATCATAGAACTGTTCAATACCTGCCACGACGGTGAGATACCGATCGGGCACGATATCAAACAGTTTCTTCACCAAATCTGAATCTCCGATGCTCCCCCCAAGCTGCTACTCCTAACTGACAACGCTGTCAGTTTTCCCACAACCTGATCCAGGGATTCATCTTCCTTCATCTCTACTACATCAAATTCGCTTTTTAGCGTTTGCAGCCGAGCATCTCTGATCCGATCCGCACCGACGAACGCGCCTTCAGTGAGTTCCACACCTCCTTCCCCGTCTTCTTCTTGGCGACTTGCATCAAGATGTCATCGGGGATGCACTGAAGTAGATGGGCTTTCACCTTCTTGTCCTTGGTGGTCAGCTTTGCCGCTTCCGCCGCCGTCGGCTCCGTCGCCGATGTTCTCTCCTCCAGCTCCACAACCTCCCACTCCTCCCGATCCTTCATGATCGCCTGAACACGAATACACCAACTGGTATAATTCGTGCTCGTTAGGGTCGGATGCACCTGGCGCGCTTCCCCGCTGCCCCTCGCACCATCCCCGCTCCCGCCGCCGCCGCCGCCGGGAACGATTGACATGGTCCTAGATCTAAGAGTGGCTCCGCGTGAGATTGACGGCTCTGATACCAGATGAAAGTCTAGGATCGACAATCAATCATGCTGTAAAGTGGATGGATCGAACACACACAAGAACATGAACACAGAGCGATCTCAGATGTGGAAACTGTCATCGGACGACACGGTGACAGCGCCCCTTTTCGCTTTGGATGGTTCACGATACAAATGCCTAACCGGCTTACAAAATGCTCACACATACGCACTAAGGATCCAGCTACTTATACCTGCAGCTAATGGACCTCTTTTACAAAGCAAATAACCGCACAAACTCGACACCAATTAACTGACTAACACAGAATGCAGATAACTGCAGAACGTGGGTGCGGTCACCACCACCAACTGCTGCCCCGGCTTGTCTGCCTCAGTTTGAACCTGAGCTTCCCGCCTTGCTGCTGCCAGCTTGGACATGCCACGTTGCTGCCTGGTGTTGTGACAGGATTACACCAACATGCCTCACATGCTCGCTGTAGGCCAAAGGATAATTCCTGCAGCTATGACAGATGCGGGAGATTAGGTCTTGGGGCAAGAGAAGTCACTGGTGCCGATGTTCTGTGCCTGAGAGTCATCTGCATGGTTGATCCGATTATGTGGACAATGGAGGACAATGACAATGGCATGCGGGCAAGTAGTGTCGTCTTCATCTCCATGCGTGTTCATTTGGGCAGCCATGACTTCCGACATTTGCTACATAATCAGCTCTCTAGAAATCAGGCATGTATAATTTGAGCATGCCTTGATAGATTTTAGCCATTGAAAGCAATAACTCTGAAGACCTGTGATTTGTGCACCGGATACCTTGACGTCATAGATCATAAGTGCATATGGGAAGGCAAACAATGCACATATAGATGCCCCCGTGTTTTCTTATTTCTAATTTTTCATTTCATAGTGTCTTAGCTTCGTTTAACATCTTTTGATGCAACTTACTAATTAGTAGTTTTGAGGCATAAGTGCAACCATGGTTTATGCATTGACGATGCTTTTTCTAACACAAATGCATCTTTTGATGTTTATTTCCCTTAAACATTGTTTAAATAATCAACCTTTGTTTGTCCTACCAGTTCATCAAGATTACAAAACCACATTATAACATGATTTTCTAACACAAAATCCTATATTTCTTACTCACATTCTCCTCCTAAAAAGTCTATAGAATACCCACAGCAATGCACGGGGTATCATGTAGTATCATAAGTATATTGGACATTATTTCATAAATAATTTTTATTAGGTGTAACACATTGGTACATGTACGTCAAGTAATGTTGAAGGTTAAAGAGAGTTGACCGGTGAGATCTTATCTATTACGAAATAAGGAGTTCTGGATATTGCATCAAATGTTTAATATCTAAACACTCTTGACAACAAAACAAGCTATATGTCTAGGTATCAGGGAATTATTTGTAATAAACAAACAAAAGGAGAAAAAGTAGAAGAAAAACAATATAATTGGCCACATAGCTTGTACTTATTGGCCCTTGTGCCTGACCATCATGTGTGTGTGGGGGAGTGGGGAGCACAAATACTTTTAGGAGATTATTCATAAAAGCATAGTTTGTCTTAATGTGCTTACAATTAATCATTGTGTAACTTTTATAAATAATGGTCCAACTGCCAATGATATTATATCTTTAGGTTTTGTTTGGTGTATGGTTCTGACATTAGAAGGAGCTAAAAAACCCAAAACTGTTTATTTGTGTGCACAACGTATTTATCTAGTACAATATTTTTATTACTATAATATGATGATAAGTAGTATCTTTTAGGCCATTCCTTTTTGGCATGCTATTATTCATTAACAAAATATTGTAGGTCGAATGTGGTGTCATTGCAGAGCGGTTTATTTGCCTATGTCTTACATCTATGGAAAGAGGTTTGTTGGTCGTATCACACCACTTGTCTTGGAATTGAGAAATGAACTCTATGAAGACCCGTACAATCTGATTGATTGGAACAAGGCTCGAAACCAGTGCGCAAAGGTTTGTTGGAAAAACTACCTGGCTAGCATTAAAAATATTAATCCAATTCACACATCTATTTTAGACAGCTGGATCACAAGAAATTTTTATTTTTAATGATTGGTCATAATCTATTTGTTGATTTACCATAATGAAATTTGAGATTTAGTACAACTCCATCAAGTGATTTACTATGACATTATGGTAGATATCATCATGAGTTATAGTAACACATATATCATAAATATATATTTATAATATCGTAAATTAGTACAATCATTATTATAAATCTAGATGGCCATAGAGTACATACACGATATAGTCAAACCTTTGAATATGAGGTCTTGAACAAAAAAATATCGTGATTATTTCTAAATATACACTTCGATACATATGTAATCTCTTCTCCTGATATTATATTGCTCATTGGTAATTGATGAGTATACGAGCCAAATTTGTATATGGCAGAAGTTCATTATATATATATGTGTCTAGATAGGGCCAGTGTTATCTATGATTAGTCCCAACTGAATCTTATTGAACCGGTGTGGTCCTTATTCCTTGTTGATTGAGAACATTCAAGAACTGACTGACCACTTTTATGAGGCTAATTGATTGCAACCTATGCTATGGTCGGGATGCATCTCACAAATGCATGCTGAAGTATTTTTTATACCATTCACAAAGTTACTACAAGAAAGAGAAATGATTTGAGATGTTATTCTAGTAAAACTTAAAACAAATATTACTTTTTCTCCTTTTTTGCATCATTTATGAGTTAAATTTTAGGATACAATATTTTTCTTAAAATCTAAGTGATGTTTGTATATTCTTTGTCCTTCAGGAAGATTTGTACTATCCGCATCCATTTCTTCAGGATGTCTTATGGGCCACTCTCCACAAGTTTGTCGAACCAGTTATGATGCATTGGCCTGGGATCAAATTTAGGGAGATTGCTTTGCGCACTGCCATGCGCCACATTCACTATGAAGATGAAAACACTCGATATATTAACCTTGGTCCTGTAAACAAGGTAAACTATGGACTATGATTATGTGTTGATTCTTTATAGAAGAAAGTATACATAGTTTTGTTTTTTACAGTTCTTGCCACAAGTCAAGGACATTATCACATTATATTACAAACAAATTAAATCTATGTTTTCATATCCAAAGGCTGTACTCTAGCACTGTAATACCCCATCTGAAAGGATCTACATGGCTAGAAGGGGGTGAATAGCCTATAAAAAATTCTTCTACAAAAGCACAAGACTAGAGCAAAGTTGATTAGTACAACAACCAACCCTAATAGCCACTACTTGCTCTAGCACTGCTTCACCCAAGAAAGTCCATACACAACTCTAGGAGCAAATGTTTTCTAATCTAAATCACTACACCACACAAAGTTACTAGCTACACTAAGCTACTCTAGCCAGCTAAACTAGTGAGCAAATAAGAACTACCTACTCTACTACTAAAGCTACAACAAACTAGAGAGCTACTCTATCAAGCAACTACTACACAAGCAATAGATATGAATGTCAATGCAAGTGAGAGTAGTAGCAAACCACTGAGGGCAAGAGATCAACCCAATGATTTATCTTCATGGTTCGGTTGCTTACTGGCAAACTACATCCATGTTATAGTAAGTCCCCAAGTAATGATTCGCGTGCTACATGACAAACTAGACCCATAACTTTGGTAGTGCCGCAAGAATCAACCACAAGGTGCACTCCAACTAGCCATGAGCATTCCACTAGAGTATCCATTTGCAACTCCGTGAGGTGGGATCAAAACCTCTCAGAAAACACCAATTGGAGATGGCTAACGATCACCAACACTCCCCTCAACAACCATAGCTGCTCCAAGCCATCTAGGTGACGGTAACCACCAAGAGTAACAAAAACAAGTGCAGCCCAAATGAAGAACAAGTGCCACCCGATGCAAATCAACAAAGCAAATGCACTAGACTCTCCCAATCTCACTTTGGATCAAGCCCAAGTCAAGAGATGAGTTGGACGTGTTTTTGGTGGCTCACAAGTGTGTTAGAATGCTTACAATGCCAAGAGAGATATAAAGAGCCAGCCAACACATAAATATCACCCCTCCAAAAACTAGCCGTTGGGCTAGCTGAGTGGGTAGTCTGCGTAGGCACCGGATTGGTCCAGAGCCTGCAAGACCCCCACCACTAGACTATGAGCTACATTATACAGCTTTCAGAGCGCATAGTCTGGTGTCTAATTAGTGTACACACTGGACTAATCCGGTGGTAGCTCAGCGTATGTCAGCAGAAACTAGCCATTAGCTACTCCAATGGTCACATGTAACTCATGGTCCGGTGCAGCCCCTAGTGGACCACCGAACTAATCTAGTGTCCACCAGAGAGGTTCCAATAAGGGTTTTAGGCGATCGGATTGGTCCAGTACTTCACAATGAACTGATTCGGTAAGTGCTATGAAAATGCCCCTCTAGAACAGTGCTAATGGATGGTCTGGTGCTGTCAGTGAGCTGACCATCGGACTAATTCGGTGGCTAACCCTAGCCACTGTGAAGTCTTCCTGGAACCCAACTGCATAGCTTATAGTCCAGCGCCCTCTGCAGGGCATCATCATACTAATCCAGTGTCAACAGAGGCACCCCAATTAGCTCTATTTCAAACTCTTTTTCAAATGCACTAACTTCCAAATGTTGTCCAACATGACAACAACTCCTTTGGCCCGGAGTTAGTATTTTCAAATATTTTCAAAGGAATTTCACTTGCATCTCACCGTGTCACTAGGTCTAATGCATATGCAAAGTCATTTAACACCTAGTGGCACTTAAATAACCGATTAAGCTTTAGAGATCCTCTCTTAATAGTATGGCTATCTATCCTAAATCCGACCACACACTCTATTGTGTCTCGACCGGCAAAACAAGAATCCCTAGCATATACTTTTTCCTTCAATTCAACAAGGGGTTTTGTTTTTCTCTTTGTTCTTTTGCAAGTGTGAGCTTGTTCCAATTGGATTGATCACCCTGCATCCATCTCCAAGCCTTGCTCACCTCCTCGGTGCGGACCTAACCAAGCTTATCAAGACATAGCAAATTAAAAGGTTAGTCTACTAGTTGTCTGAATTACAAAAACTAAACATAGGGCTTTCACTGTCTCGTTACAGACCTATAGTAGTAGTGAAGTTGGCCTATGAGGCCCATGTCTGGTTGTAGTTGGTGGGTTTAGTACCACCTTGGAATTTTATGAGAGTGAAGGCTAGCTTATAATCCTTGTCGTTCCATACGTAGCACATTCGGGTTAACCCTTTTGCATGAAGCGAGGACAAAAGTGTAAGAGAAGTGCTACGCGTATGCGGGCCCATTCCACGTGAGGAGCTGGGCCATAGGAAGATTTGTGACACGGGGTGTTACATGCACTTAAATTCAACAAAATGAATAATGCAAACTCTAAAATCTTAGAAGATGCCATAACATTGCCATGTATCGATGTAGGATGTCATAGCTTTGGAAGTGCTCATGTAAAACTGGACAACTAGGACAACATAATGCCTAATAACATATTATAAAACCCTTGCCATAGTTCTTTGCTTTCCAAATGGGTCAAAAAGGGCAAACCAATTGCTCACATATAGCCTAACAAACTATAAAACCCTTGCCATAGTTCTTTGCTTTCCAAATGGGCCAAGAAGGGCAAAGCAATTGCTCATTGATGCTATGGCATATGCTTAAGGTCTACCCAATTATTCTTCCAACTTCATCCTCTCTCTTTCAAAGAGAGTAAAGTGGTACACGAGCGGATTGACTGACAAACCCCTCGACCTTATATTTCTCGTATTTCTAAAGAGAGAAATGACCATCCTCAATTGCATGTTGGCACCCCACTCTTACTCTCTATGTCATACGAATAAATCCTTCCAAAACATCTTGAAAATAGGCTATGATGAAAAATGCTCTTGCATTGATATTGGGGGGCTTCAAGTAAATGTCATTAGTGACAGGTCTAAAATGAGATAAAACAAACTGAAAACTTTCGGCCAGTGAAATATGGACCTTTTGCTTAACTCTAACAGAAAAAACGGTTTTTTGCCTTGGTCACTTAAGTTAATATTTTATTAGCGCCGCCAAGATTTGAATTCGAGACCTATGACCATGATTCCATATTGAGTTGCATACTCTAACTAGTTCAACACAAAAGTTTAAACACTAGTATTTATATGTTGTACCGGCCTATTACCACTTTTAGTTTTTTTCATCATTGTATTGTCATGACAACTCCTACTCGCACCATCCTCTCCTATTTATGCAACATTACCTGCTCTGTCAGAAACTCGGAACTATGAATGCTTCCACAACACATGGAGCTAGCTTTCTGATACTAAATGTTACCATTTCAGCTAATAATTCAGTAGCTTTTTTACTCCTGCAACCATTGCAAGCTCTATGACAAAATATCTCTGTAGCCATAACATTTTAGTGGTAAAATAGGTATATGTCTGCGGCTGAGGAAATTTTGAATATTTTGCTTTATTTGCAAACTATTGTCCTCAGTAACAGTGTATACATATATTCAATTATGCCAAACTACAAAAACTTCAACCAAAAAAACTGTGGAATTATTTTCTGTTTTGTTCTTCTTTAACAGTTAACATGTTAGACAAATGACAACGCTGGCTCATAATGGCCACCTTGAAATTACTCAATCAACTTACCCTACAACTTTAGTTGCCTTACCATTTCTCTGCTTTGCCACTTTAGCGGGACCATTACTTCTTCTTCTTGGCATTCTAATCCTATTCTGCTATTCGTATGTCTTAGGTAAGGAACTTTTGTTAGAAGTGTGTGCCTTAGTGACTAGATTAATATAATATTTCTCAATTGTTTCCTATAAGCTTGTTCCATGAATCGCTATCAGATATCAAATAACTTTATACACAGGTAATGAATATGCTTGCTTGTTGGATTGAAGATCCAAAATCAGAGGCATTCAAACTCCATGTTCTCCGAATTTATGATTATTTATGGCTTGCTGAAGATGGTATGAAAATGAAGGTAACCATTGCTGAATCTTTTCTCATGAAACTGAGAGTTTTTAGTTACATCAAAGTCTTATTATGATGGCCAATGGTGCAATTATCAAGGCATTCAAGCATCCATGCATGCATCATGCAGTCCTCATTTGTCCATGCGTGATTATAAACATTATATGTTGATGGCTACATATTGTGCCTTAGGCGCAAAAAACAATCACCAACTGCAGCACAAACATGCTTGATTTAACTCTGGTTTTAGGTGGCTTGACTGTTAACTCAACTAATGACTAACATGGAAAATGACAAGGTTACTCCTATTGTCAGTTTTGTTGATTTTTCTTTAGCAAACTAAAAGGGATTCATCTTCTCTGTTCTATTAATGTAGGGCTATAATGGCAGCCAGCTGTGGGATACAGGTTTAACAGTTCAGGCAATTGTGAGGACCAACCTCATTGAAGAGTTTGGTCCAACTCTTAAACTAGCGCATGCCTTTATTAAGAATTCACAGGTACATACATGCTATTAGCATGGAGACCTAGACTTCTGTCTGTGAAAGGTAGATTTCACTTGGCATACTTATTAACTTCCTATTCTTTAGATCCTTGACAATTGCCCTGGAGATTTGAACCAGTGGTATCGGCACATGTCAAAAGGTGGATGGTCATTTTCTACAGCTGATCATGGTTGGTCTGTATCAGATTGCACTGCAACAGGACTAGAGGTGAATATAGCTCATTAGTATATGACAAAGAAGATTTTTCTCTCTTATTTATTTTCTTCACCATCTTGATCAAAAACTTTCGGTGCACATTTATAAGAATACACAGTATATATATCTTTAATATGTGTAATATTCAGTGCTTGTCATTGGGATTTCTATGATGTTATTCTGGAATCACATCAAGCTCATTGTCATATACTCTGGTTTATTTTTTCTGTTGTAATTTTCTCTTACCTACAGGCCGCACTATTGTTATCAATGATTTCTCCTCAAATAGTTGGTGAGCCGATGGAAGTTGACAGAGTTTATGATGGTGTAAATTGTCTCATTTCTCTTATGGTAAGCATCTTTCAAGTTTTTGCCTTTCATTCTGCATAAGTTGCAAGTTGTAGGATCAGTTTTTGCCCCACATGTTTACAGTTTTAAAAGTAGGGTGCATTGTTCAGAATATCCCTACTCAGTCCTTGGGGTTGTTGCATTAATGTAATATTAAAATTTTTCACATTTCCTGTTAGTCAGATTATAACTTGCTATTTTTTAAACAAAAGGAAGCTCTATTAATCTCAAGCACTTGCATCAAGGTGGCACAATCGATCTAAGACCACTCAAGGTTTTTGAATAGCTATTATACAGACAACCTATGATTATTGAAGTATAACAACATGACATCATGCCGTAATGAGCTACAACCCACATCATAATCAAGGTTTTAAATCTCCGGCTATAGCTGCCGCTATAGCCGGAGATAGCTGCTAGGAAGACAAGCCGCTAGGATAATTCACTTTTGCCACTATGAGTTAGCTGCCGCTAATAGCTGTATTTAGCCCGCTATAGCCACTGATAAGCCTCCTTTTGCGGCCGCTAAGTGCTTTGCTGGGCAAAAATCAAGCGGACTCATCCAATTGTCAGCGGATGACCCGTAGTTCTAAGCGCTTTGAGCTTGGCACCCACCGTGTTGATTGATCTGATAATGTTTCGTCATTGCATTTGTGCTTGAACTGATGATGAGCATTGTATATGTTATGCCAAACGTCTTGTGATGGTCCTGGAGCTCTGTTCTTGTGAACTGATGAGCGATGACTGATGGATATGTGAAATGATCAATGATTTTTGTCTCTTTTTTTCAAAACCGCTAAACAAATTAGTTGGAGCTATAGCCCGCTATAGCTGCTCGTAGCTTTTGCAGACTTCAATCGCTAAGAGGCTTAGCCGGAGATTTAAAACCTTGATCATAATATTCAATTCCATGCACGACCGTAGCAACATATGGACCATAAAAAGGTCCTCCTAAAGAAACAGCTACAAGAAGAAACGGTACTCAAAGCATGCCACTGTTGCTATGATCCAACCACAATTGGTTCTCACCCAAAAAGATCAATTCATCGAACTCTAGACACCATCAAGGAAGCAAAAATAATGCCACCATTGCTAGGTACAACCAACTAAGGCCACACCTAGAGATTTCTCCCTGGAGTTGAGGAACCGGCACCTAAACTGACACCACCAAATCGAAGTTCCCCAATACCGCCTCTCAAAATTGTTTCCTGTCAATCCTGCCATGCCTTCCAATCTTGGCTAACTATAATCGGAGGCCAACCCCATGAGCCACATGTCCAAAATACATAGGATCCATCTAGAGACAGAACGAGACATCCGAATAAGAGATTCCATGAGTCGATGCCAAGTGACTCCAGACTCTAGGTAGGTACGGAAGTCTATGACTATAGATGAGGATGCCATTGCGAGGACTGGCTGCATAAATAGTCAACCAAGATCAAACCATTGAACATCAGCAGTACGACAACTGACTGCATCTTGAACACTGACGCCGGTGATTTCCCGTTTGGAGTATATTAAATGCCTCCACATCAGCTCTAGAGGATGGGATAATGCTAACTTTTTTTACAGTTGAAAGAACTTGACATGTAGTTACAGTAGAACTTTGACATTCATTTCTCTTAGAACACAGCTTGAAGGGGAAGCAACAACCCAACTTAAAATTATTCATTAAGATTTGATTTTTTTGTGATGTTTCCTTAATTATCTGTGATTTCTCTTTGGTGTTATCTTTCAAATATTTCTATCCGAGGAGCTGTGTCTTATATGTCTGTCTTAATTTACCTTGCAGAATGATAATGGTGGATTTGCAACATTTGAACTCACAAGGTCATATGCATGGTTGGAGGTCAGTTAATCAATTTCTTTCTAGATCATCCTTGCTTCTTTATCATGTGCCAACACTCTATTGCCTAGCGGCATGCACCCTAGTTGAGTGGGACACTAGCTAGCCAAAGTTCAAATCCCGATGGCAAGAGAAAAGAGAGAGAGATCCCCTCACTAGCAATATGAAAATAGTGGCAAGGGATAATTGTAGTGACCGTTAGCCGAGGAGGATAGGAGGTCATGGTCGGCTCTAGGGCAGCCCTATAGGACGATGTTGGGGTCGTTTATGGTTTTTTTTGGCTCGTGCATGTAGTTAATGCTTCTTCTTAATCATAATGTCTCTGGGAGGCTGTTTCCTAGCCTAACAGTATCATAGGTCAACTTTTTCTGCGCTTTCTTAGGTGTTCAAGATTGAAAGAGAGAGGCGCATGGTTGTAGTACATCATAGCCATATGCGTAGAAAGAGAATAGCACGTGAAATATAGAGATATTAATGTAGAAACACATTTTTGACCTATCTTAATGTAGAAACACTGGAGGCCAGCTAATCAATGAATCAAGCAGAGTTGGTTACGATCATTTCCAAAATTTATTGGACTCTCGCCACGGACTCATCCATAATCCAAACAGGACATAAGTCCTGTCAAACTTATCTGTCTCAACAAACAATATGCATCCATCATCTTTTTCGCAAACAAGCACATGGTGGCCTGTATTTCATTAAGAGGATGAAGGATGTGTTACAGGGTTGTTAGCATGACACAAACCATAGGCACCGATTGGTGATCCACACCCGTCATGCCAACGTCCAGCTAGTTCCATAAAACAATTATACGGCAAACAAATTTGCGCGTAAAAGCACTCTACAGACATGCATCCATCATCTCTGATGACCGATATGGAAGATTCCAATAGTGAATTTTCTTCCATTCTTTAGTATGCTAGGTTGATACGTTATTTTTTAAATAAATATTCAGGGTATTACAATAACTATCTTAAAATTGTGTATAAGTAAACTAGCACATATCTGCTCCATTCATTGATTATATGCATTATTGAATAGGGTAGCAACATTTATCCATGTGGATTGTTAATTGAGTTCTATCTGTACTGACATATTTTTATCTCAAATTCAGCATATTAATCCTTCTGAGACCTTTGGGGGCATAATGATTGATTACCCGTAAGCTGCAATAACCCTTTAGTTTTCTTATACTGCTTTATTAGAAATAACAAAACAAAACACAAACAAAATGCACAACTCAATTGACAGGTATGTTGAATGCACATCATCATCAATTCAAGCTCTAGCTTTATTTAAGAAACTCTACCCAGAGCACCGCAGGAAAGAGGTGGACAACTGTATCAGCAAGGGTGCAGATTTCATTGAGAGCATACAAAGAAACGATGGTTCATGGTCAGCATTTAATTCAGACACCATGAGATTACGCCACTTCCTCAGCATACTTACCAATATGTATTTCCAACAGGTACGGCTCTTGGGGCGTCTGTTTCACCAACGCCACATGGTTTGCAGTGTTTGGATTAGTTTGTGCTGGCCGGACGTTCAAGAACAGTTCTGCAATAAAAAAGGCATGTGATTTTCTATTATCAAAAGAGCTTCCTTCCGGTGGCTGGGGAGAGAGCTATTTGTCGTGTCAGGACAAGGTAACTTCACTACCGGAAACTGGCTCTTTGCAGAGTGTTTTTATGTTTGCCGAGTGCATTTCCTCGAGCACTCGGCAAACAAGCTTTTTGCCAAGTGATATGAAAAAACACTCGATAAAATAATTGCACTCGGCAAACAAACTCTTTGCCGAGTGCTGCAAAAAAATACTCGGCAAAGAAGTAAGTTTGCCAAGTGTTTTTTTTTCACTCGGCAAAGAAGTAAGTTTGCCGAGTTTTTTTGGCACTCGGCAAAGAAATAGGTTTTTTCCCTCTTGTAACCTTGAAACTTTTTCTACACTTGACATAGAACATGTGGTACTCCATGTTAAAATTTGGTATATTTCTAGATCCGTTTGCTATATTTAATTAATTTATTGCATTTCAAGCAATTTTTTGAATCAAGTCAAATTTGAACTGCAAGTGATTAAAATAATAGAATAAAATGAGTAGAAAAATGATATTCATGTTATTGAGTCCAGTGTGAGGCCTTACCCGGGAAATGAAAAGAAATTTCGAACATCTTGTTCAGGAAACACGACTACGAACGTGTGGCCTAATGGTTTTTAAATTCTAAAAAAATGCAAACGAAGTATGAAAATCATGAGATTTGTCATGATGTGATGATATCATATGTGGAGGCTATGGTAAAAAATTAAGAAGGTTTCGCACAATTTGTCACATACAATGTTTACAAACCAAGCATCTTAGAAGAAAAATCATAGCGTTGAGAAGGAACCGGTAAGATTTGGAGTTAATGTCACGGTCGAATTAGGGTTTGACTTCAAAACTTTTTGTATAGGCAATAGAGAACATAGATTGTTTCATGTGAAATTTTGGTAATTTTTTAGATCCGTTTGATAATTTTAATTTATTAAGTGCAATTATAGAATTTTCATTGATATAAATTAAATTTGAGCTGTAACCGCATAAAATAATGGAATCATATTTGTAGAAAAATCATATATATATTGTTGAGTCAATTTGACAAGGTATTTTCAAAGTACATCGAAAAAAAAAAAAGGAAAAACACGCTATGGAAAACAAGGAAATGAAAAAATAACAAATATATTTGTCGAGTGCCCCAAACCTTGGCACTCGGCAAAGCCATCTTTGCCGAGTGCCCTAGCTCCACACTCGCAAACTCAACACTTTATAAACTTAAAGAAACACGTTCCGCCACGTCAGCGATCCGCGTCCCCAAAATCGAGCTCTCCCATTGGCCCGAACCTCCTCTCCCTGGATCCCTCCCTTCTTATCCCTTCCCTCTCCCTCTCTCCTTATCCATTCCTCTCACCTCATCTTCCAAGGGGCAAGGGGCAGGAGGGCGGCGGTGGGCGGGTGCGGCACGACGGCAGGAGGCGGCCACTGTTGGGTGCGCGGGGTGGGCGGGCGGGGCGGCGCGAGCGCAGGACACCGGCTGGCGGTGGGTGGCTTGGCACGGCGGCAGGAGGCGGCCATGGCCGGGAGGGCGGGGCGGCGGGGGCCGAGGCCGTGGCGGCGCGGGCAGGGCGGTGCGGGCGTCGGGAGCGGTGGTCGCTGCGGCGCGAGCGCAGGACACCGCTGGTGGTGGGCGGCGCGGCACTGGCGGCAGGAGGTGGCCACGGCCGGGCGGGTGGGGCGGCGGGGGCCGAGGCCGTGGCGTCGCGGGCAGGGCGGTGCGGGCATCGGGAGCAGTGGTCGCTGCGGGCGCGCGGGCGGCTGGAGCGGGAGCGGCCGAGTGGCGGGAGCGACTGGAACGGCAGCGGGAACACTAGGATACGGCGGCGCCAGTGCGTTCCGTGGTCGTCGTCGTGGCCGCCGGCGCGCACTTGTTGGACGCTGAGAGGCCACCGGTGCAGACCACGCCGGTCGGGGATGGCCACGGCACAAGCGGGCTTTTTTTATTTTCGTAAAAACCATTGTTTGCCGAGTTTTTTTTGGTCGACACTCGGCAAACAAGATATATTTACCAAGTGCTTATGCCGTTAGACACTCAGCAAATGCGCCATGAACGTCTTCTTGCCGTCACGTTGCTTTTTTTTGCCGAGTGTCGGTTTTAGCACTCGGCAAAGTCTTTGCCGAGTGCCCGATAAAAATCACTCGGCAAAAAACGTTTGCCTACTCGTTTCTTTGCCTACTCTGTGTACGCCGAGTGCCGAGTGCGAGTGCCGTTTGCCGAGTGTAACACTCGGCAAAGCCTTTGCCGAGGGCACACGGCAAACTTCCGGTTGTAGCTTGGCTTCAATCGACCTGTTTGTTCATTTTAAATAACTCGGTTTCTCACTAGCAGTACCGATGCTGATACATGTGATTCTGTTATTTGCTACAATACACTTATCACTTGCAACTCCCCCTCATTATCAAATGTTCCAGTCTAGTTTGTATGTTTAAAGGGTCATGGCAGTACTGTACTCAAGACTATTTGAGAGTACAGAAGCCTTACAACTGCTATATCTACCCTGGGATCTTCTGACTTGGATTGAAACAGGTTTACACAAATCTTGAAGGCATGCGACCACATGCAGTGAACACTGGTTGGGCCATGCTAGCCCTAATTCGTGCAGAACAGGTCTACCTTTTCGTCTTACAAACGTGTCTCATGGGTTTTATGGATACAATGTGCACATTTGTAAAGGATATACTTTGCCTCATTGTTACAGGCAGAAAGAGATCCAGCACCACTGCATCGGGCAGCTAAGGTTTTGATCGACTTGCAGTTAGAGGAAGGAGAATTTCCACAGCAAGTAATAATACTCCTAACTGATGCAAGAGAAATAAAACATTCATTTGTACTTTCTTCCATCTCACACATTATTGGTTTAAAACCTTGTCTCTTAAAAGCCAAAGGGGAAAATGGATTTCCTTCTGCCCGTTTGACTATAGGATCATGTAGACTGAACAGTAATATCCAAGCTGCAGCATTAAGAGGGGTCTATAATTCTATATAGGTAGAACAACACATTTGTTCAACAAAATACCTTATTGTTTTTTTATATCTTCCAAATACTGGACTCAGATTGAAGGCATCTCTTATTTCATGAGTTTAGCCAATCTTTTAGAAGTTGTAGTTTGGAAATCACATATGAATCAAACAACTAGGATAAATAATAGATATTTGTTGCAAACTACAACGTCGAGTTTCGTAAATGATTTTTATCTATCTCTGTAGGGCTCTCTTTTCTTCCCCTTACAGAGCCACATTACTCAAATGACCACTTTTTGAGTTGTTAATAAATTTTAACTATGTACAACAGGAGATCATTGGAGTCTTCAACCAAAATTGCATGATCGGTTACTCCCAGTACAGGAACATCTTCCCTATATGGGCTCTAGGAGAGTATCGTACCAGGGTCCATGTTGCAGGGAAGAAATAGCCAATATGCTTATCAGATGTCTCCGAAGAGACAATAGCCAATATGCTTATGATTCAACATGGTGGCAAAAATGTCGTTTACTATAAAGAGCTTCTACACTCTCGTTATCTAGTACCTTGATTTTCTATAACCATTGATCCATCCTTTGCATTTTTCTACAATATAAACTCAATGGTTACTTGAGAATAGTAGTGTCATGTACCGTTGATCCAACATAATTGTAGTTCCTTTTCTCTACAAAAAGATACACAAAAACTAGTACCATGTACCTGTTACATTGCAATAAGAAATCTTGGATATTTTCAGATGTGCTAATTTTTATTGTTTATGCCTTGGGGACGTAGGGCATACTAGCTAAAACTCGTTAACAAGCATTGTGCATTGGTGTCATATTGTTTCATGGATTTTGGCCATGGTATGTTTATTGTGCTTGTTGCCTCCACTGATTGGACTAGTCCTAGGGTTATGACATTGGTCCTGGATTTCTAAGAATTGGTAGTTGATCTAGAACCATGAAAAAGATGCACGTGGAGACATGATGATTTTCTTCCACGGTATGCAAAATTCACATGCAAAGCGTCAGCTAGGGATATGCTGCAAGGTAAAACATGGCAATGATCAACAAATTCACAAGTTGAATCGGAAACTTTGGAAAGGTGGCTTGAACTGTCCGATGGGACTAGGGATGAAAACGGTTAAAAAACCCCTCAACCGTTTTCTACATTTACATTTGAATACGAAAACAAAAGCGAAAATGGTAAAGCCAGATACGAAAACGAACACGAACTTACGTAATATTGAAAACGAACCAATTCCAGCAGAATTATGTCGAATACGGTCGGTATACGAAAATTCAATACGGAATACCGACTCATAGAGTCCATAACAATTAACAAGTGCATGACCCATGCACATAACAATTACCAAGTGCATGATCAAGTTCAAGCGCATATAATAATTAACAAGTGCATGACCCTTGGTCTTAAATATTAACACAATAGCTGACAGCCTGACACACAAATACAAGTCTAGAACAAGCAATTAACACTAACAGATAACAAAACATCTATAGTTCATCAGCATCATCCATGAGGTCATGATCATTTTCCATGTCTTTTGCTTCCTCATCCCCCTCCTTGTCCTTTTCCTACAAGTTTGCAAAGTGAATTCAAATTAGATGTAGCAACTAGTATATTTCAGAGCAAGCAGTCAATAAACATACCTCAATTTTTAGTTTAGCCACAACATTAGCCAAAGCCTCAACCTCAAGATCACTCACAATTGATCCAACCATTTTAGAATCTGAACAAAAAATGAGAAAGGAAAATAATCAATGCATTATTCTACTGCAATTATAAGTGTGTCTAACTAAAAAACAGATAAAATGAGCACCTTTTCTTGCTGCAGCAACCCAATCCTTTGTGCAAATTAATGTCTGTACCATCTCAGGATCAAGATGACTACGATAGGGATCAACAACACGACCAGCAGCACTAAAAGCAGACTCGGATGCTACTGTTGATACCTGTATGGCCATTACATCCCAAACAATTTGCGAAAGGATAAGATATTGTTCTCTCTTGTTTTTCCACCATGCTAAGATGTCAAACTCACCAACAATTTTCAGAAATGGTTCTGCAATATACCTCTCCAACTCATTTGACTCAACCATAGCAGGTTCACTTGCATCATATAAGAATTCTTCTAGGTCATGGTCTACATTTCCCATTAATATATCAGCTGTGTTACTAGGTCCAGGTGCAGCCCCTTTACTATTTTCCTTTGATGATGCAGGAGCAGAATTAACATAAAAGTTGTACAGTTTCTTTACCACAGTAACAAATTCATCAAGTTCAACTTGATAATGATCACCATAGACCTTCTTCATGTAGTACTCTATCAGCCTTTTCTTATACCTAGGATCAAGAAAACAGGCTACAGCTAGAGCAATGTTGGACTACTGCCAATATTTGTCAAATTTGTCATTCATAGCAATTGCCATATCTCTAATTATAGCATCTCCACTACAGCACCAGTCGTCAAGCAAGAGCTTTATATCACAGAAACCTCTATAAAATAAGTTTGCAGTAGGATATGAAGTGCCAGATAGAATTTCAGTGAGATCATAAAATTTCTTCAAGCAACCATATATTGTCAATGCATTGTCCCATTCAGCAGAAGATGGAGAAATCTTGGCATACCTAAGGCGATTTGAAGACTTCAGCCTAATAAATGCATCCTTGTAGTACAAGATATCTCTCAGAATTAGGTAGGTAGAATTCCACCTGATTGAAACATCCATCGAGATACCCCTCTTTGTATCCAACTCAGCTTCGGTGGCACGCATCATAAGCTCTTCCCACTGCATTGGAGACCCTTTCACAGCTAGTACAAGTGATTTGACCTTGCTGTTTGTTCCTGAAATGACTTTCAACCCATCTCTAGCAACCAAATTGAGAATATGGCAGGCACATAGAACATGAAAAACCATCCCATCACAAACTAGGGAACTATTAGCATTCTCTTTCAGATATGAAATTATATCATTGACAGCCACTTCATTTGAACTAGTATTATCCAAAGTCAAAGCAAACAGTCTATTTTCAATGTACCATTTAACCATAACTTCAGTGAATGACTCAGACAACTTTGCACCAGTATGCCTTCCTTTTACATTGAAGAAACCAATAATTCGGTCCCAAATTAGTACCTGCTGCTGCCGGTGCCGCTGCCGATGCTGCCGGTGGCGCTAGAAGGTGGCGCACGCTCTTGGTCTTGGACTGGGCCTTGATCTTCGTTCCAGGAGCAGAACCCCTTCTCCAGCTCCAGTGGGTGCCATCGATGGCTGGGGTGGCGGCGCTGCCTCGTGGCTGGGTGGCGGCCGGTGGCGCTGGTGGGCTGAGGACTGGGGAGTGGGCTGGGACGGGCGGCCGGCGGGGTCGGGTGGAGGCGCAGCCGTCACAGACTCGTGGTCACGGTCGCATCACCCATCGCCACTCGCGCCGCGCGGCGTGGATAGGGGATACGGAGGGATTAGGGGCGCCGACAGCGAGCCAGGGAGGGATAGGGTCCAGGGAGGAGTTGGAGGAGTGGAGGACTGAGGAGATTAGTGTTGTCATTGGGCTGGGCTGTAGAGTGGGCTTTGTGGGCTGTGCTGTGCGTACTGCGTAGTGGACCAAATTCGGTTTAAACTGAATTTAGAAAACGGTACACTCCTTATTAAATGTAGAAAAGTAGAAAACGGTCGGAAAAAAGCTAAACCGTTTTTGTTCCGTTTTCGAATTTGATAGTCCGAATTTCGAACCGAATTCGAATTTGTTCGAAAATGCGAAATCGATCGGTTCAAATGTAGAAAACGATGCAGTTCGGTTCGGAATATTTCCGTACCGTTTTCATCCCTAGACGGGACTTATCAACGAGGATCCATTCAAAATTTCAAATATGGAGATTGGATCGATGGCAACTGCCAGCTTTTGTTCTATAGGGGCTTGTGAAACATTACAACGAAGTTCAACGCTGCTGCTAGAAGACGTCGTGCGTGACAATATATAACGTCTTTGGCTCATGATGAGACTGTAGTTGGTGCTCATTTAAACATTGGTGTGGCTATTGCAGACTCCAATTCAAATTTTGGTGTTGTGAGTTCTAACTTTGATCCCAAAAGTTCATGAAGCAAACCAAATTCAGCAATACATGCTCATTTTCCTTTTTAATTTCAGATTCAAAATTTTGACTAAGGTGTGGCCACCAATAGATTAAGTTTGGTGAAAAAACTCAAATAACCTTCATGCGAGGATGCGACATCCTTCAGGCTATATCATCGTCTTACATGAGATATTTCATGAGCTAGCTGCACCAAAAAAAAAAAAAAAAATGTTGTTATTTTGAAGATTGACTTGGAAAAAGCTTATGATATATTAAGGTGGCCTTTATATTGCAAAGCTATGAATGAAAGGTTTCTCACCCAAACAAATAGCTCGTAATATGAAGCTAGTACTCTAGGGTCTGTTTGGTTGTCTGTATGAGGCCGCGTGCCAGGCTCATGGGATGTAGTTGTTTGGTTAGCAGAACAAAGGCCTAAGCCTGTCCCACGGGATGCAAAAGAGCTCCCTCAGCCTGGCTCCCGAGAAACGAGTTTCATTTTCATTTCTCGCAGGCTTGGCTCGCTGGATGCGAGGTGGATCCTAGCTAACAATGTGATTAGTTCATAATTAGTTTATATTAAGCAATTTTAGTGCATTTAAGCTAATTAAGGCCTAATAAGGAAAATTAAGACTACTAAAACACACTTATATATGATAAATATAATAACCAATTTTGTCTTGCACATTTTATCTAATTGGACATATTCTCAAACAGACAACTAAGCATCGTATCTACTGAGCCAGTATGGCTAAATACGAACAACCAAACAAAAGGACCTTGTATGAGTTCAGTCTGGCTCAGCTGAGCCTAGCTGAACTCATGCGAGCCAAGCTAGGTGAGACAAGTAACCGAACAGACCCCTATGGGTTTGTACTATTATTGAGACTAAAAATTAATTTCGGTTGCAATTCTAGGGACTTTCCATTGATGCATTCACTAGTAGAGAACAGACATTCGGTTTTTACCTTTAATAATGACCAGAATTCGGCCTGAGACTAAAGGGAGCTGTAGTCCTGTTGGAGCCATCAACGGGGACTAAAGTCCCCAGACGCTAGACGTTGGGCAGGAGACTTCAGTTCCGGTTGGTAGCTGTAACACCCTAAAATTTGCATAATTTTAAAATAGGAGAAAATGATTTAATTATGCATTTTTGTGAGCATTTGAATTTAGGAAAATAATAATTTTGTTCTAATTAAAATCAAATATAGGTCTACATACATGTATGTGCATACATGCTGCTACATATCATTTTTGTATTGTGTGGTTTGAAATCAAACTTCAACTTGATTTGAATTTGCATTTCAAAATTTATTTGGAAAATTAGTTTAGAAAATGAGAAAGGAAAACTTACTCTCTCCCTGGTTTTCGGCCCAGTCGGCTTGATCTACCTGCCAGCCCAGCCGCCCCGCTCGGCCTTTCCCTCTTCTTCCCGCGCGGGCCGAAGTCCAGCTGGCCCCAGCCCAGTGCAGCCCCGTACGGTCGCCCGCGCCATTCCTCTTCTACACCCTCTCGACTCTCGTCGATAGGTGGGCCCGCCCTGTCAGGGTCACTATCTACCACCTCACGCTCGTGTCCGAGCCGGACACAACCGCCGCCGAGTCCGCGCTGTCTACGCCACGTCCAGGCGTGCGCTGCAAGCCAGCCACGTCATAAATGGAGCACGTGACCGCGCCGCTCCCCTACCTAACCCTAGAGCAAGCCGTCCGCCTCGCCTAGAGCTCGCAGCCGCCGTAGCCCTAGCGCCGCCGCCACCGCCGTCGGGTTCAAGCAGCTGTCGCGCGCTGTCGTCGGTCCCCCGCCCTTGTTTTCGATCTCGGTGAGTTCTCCTTCAGCTCCTCTCTCTCCTCGTGCTCTTGGTTCGCCAAGTGGTGGTCCGTAGGACCTAAACTGCGCACGCCGTCGAGCTTCTCATCGCCGTCCATGGAGGACCGCCGCGCTCGGTCCTGTTTCGGCCGGCCGGCCATGCCTGACCCTTCCATCCGTCCAATCTAAGATCAAGGGCCAGGATTAGAACATACCTCTTCGTTGGTATTTTTGCAAAAATGTCACACCCAATTTTAAGGATAAAATTGAATAAACCAAACTCATGTGTGCCCAGGGATCAGTCACACACATAAGTTGACAAATTATAAAAAGTATCATCATGGTGTATCTTACATAACGAATAATAGCATCACATAGTCTTACACATCACAGCGGAAAGTAAAAAGATAGCTCTCTCGTGGTAGCTCCAACATAGGGACGGTCAACTGGTTGACCACAAGCCTAACAGTCCTCAGCAAACTCCTCATATCCGTTGTCATCTGTTACCCATCCGGTATTTTTATCCAAATATAGAAAGTAAACAAGCGTAAGTACTTCCCGTACTTAACAAGATAACATGGGGTTCATGAGGCTCAAAAAGGATGACACTGGTTTACTGCAGTTAGCACTTTTAGTAAGTCAAGGTTTTATCATCAGTTATTATCAAGTTATGCTTAAGCTCCCATTTAAACCCACATAATCATATATCCGAACCAATTGAGTCATGAAACATCATCATATTATCATCATAGTCATCATGTATAAACAACATCATAAGTAGCCAGTTATTCTGTTAGTTTTCTGGGCCACTCGTGACTGTGAGCACGGCTGTTATAACAGTTTGTAACCCTCTGTAGAGGTGGTGCACATTCACCGCGAGTCGTGATTTCCATATGCCCGGGTTAATTACTCCCATATCACTGCCAAGGTGAGCGGGCAGGGTACACTATGAAGCCATTTCATAGGTTTCTCTAACAAGTTAGGGCCGCTAGGTTTCCTCGGCAGGCAGATGTAGAAACCCCCCTTTCCTATGGCACATGTCCATCACGGCTATACACATAGGAACAGAGGCAGTCCTATACCCAATGTGGTAAGCCCCTTTTGCGCCATAAAGGTAACCTCTAACAAGCTAGAAAAGGTCCTATTACTGAGCTAAAGTCAGAGCCATATGACCCTCACGGTTGCACTGTCAGTCCCAGCTTTTGTCGATAGATAAGTCCTTATGGAGGGCCGAGAGCATCATGATCGAAAGTCATTCGCTCCTTCGCCCTATAATTCAGTTGTTTAAAAGCCAATTTTACCTTTTCGTTCCATAGAACCGTTATTCATTATGTAAATCATGTACATTTACTTTGAGCGCTAGCAAACTACCCATATGCATATAACCCATAGGAGACAAGGAATAGGATATTCAATCACTAGGATGTCCTTACGGGTATCAAAATTAGACACATGCAAATGAGTAATTAATAAAGGTGAATAGGCATCAAGGTAGATCCCATGCTATACTTGCCTTGGTTAGCAAACTCCTGCTGGTCCTGCTGGTCATCGAAGAACTCTTGGTCTCCAACGTTCTCCTCATCGTCTGAACACGACCAACACGGCAACATACAACATTCCTATGGTTAGAACAGTACACCAACAGTAAAGAAAACAAGATAAAATGTTTATGAAAAGAATCTGCGTCTCGCTACGATCACGTCAACGCGAAGTCCACGAAAAACGGAGCTAAAATGCGAAAGTTATGATTTAAACAGGATTTCCTATAGCAATTTATTTAACTAAATCTAACCTCAAAATTTAAATGTTGCAAACAGGACTAATAGTGGTATTAACATGTAGAGAACTCAGGGACTAAATCTAACCTCAAAATCTAACGCAATTTGAACGGGTCAATTCGGAGCTAAAACGACAATTTTATAAGCAAAACAGTGCAATGGCATTTCTATAAATACTGAAAACGTATTTTGGACTAAAACAGTATATTTTACGTTTTCAAAAGGAGAAAGCGTACTAAGAAAATGCGTTTTGGACTGCGGGTTAGGACTTAGAAAAACTTAGGGACTCATTAGCAAAACCGACACACGAAGGGGTATCGGCCTACGTGAGCCGTTGGATCATGGATGGGTGGTTCAGATTAGATGGGAGGGAGAGAGAGAAAGCAGTGGTGGCCGGAATAGTGTGGCCGCGGTGGTGCAGCCATTGTCGGCGGTGAGGAGCATGCTGGCGCGATCGGTACGGGGGCTAGGGGCCACGGTTCGAACAACTGAGGGCACCGGGAGATGGTGGGGGTTCATGCGATCTTGGCCATGCCGAGAAGGCGGCCGGAGGAGAGGTTCGAGGTGGCGGTCGCCATGGCCGGTGATGCGGAGCTCATCGGTGCACGCAAAACGGACCCTAGAAACCGTGAAACAAGAAAACAACGGCACGGGGAGAAAGAGGGGAGCAAGGGGGTTCTCACAGCGGGGGAAAACGATGTCAACGGCGGCTTGGGGACGGCTGTCCGCGTGGAGGGGTGGACGGCGGACCTCGGCTCGTCGGTG